GAAGAAGAAAAAGAAGAAGAAGAAGAAGAAGGAGAAGCAGAAGAAGAAGGAGAAGGAGAAGGAGAAGGAAGAAGAAGGAGAAGGGAGGAGAAGAACGAGAAGGGAGGAGAAGAAGAAGAAGAAGAAGAAGAAGAAGAAGAAGAAGAAGAAGAAGAAGAAGGAGAATAAGGAGAAGAAGAAAGAGAAGAAGGAGAAGGGAGGATAAGAAGAAGAAGAAGAAGAGGAAGAGGGAGGAAGAAGAAGAAGAAGAAGAAGAAGAAGAAGAAGAAGAAGAAGAAGAAGAAGAAGAAGAAGAAGAAGAAGAAGGGAGGAGAAGAAGAAGAAGGAGAAGGGAGGAGAAGAAGAAGAGGAAGAAGAAGAAGAAGAAGAAGAAGAAGAAGAAGGAAGGAGAAGAAGAAGAAGAAGAAGAAGAACTGTACCTGGCTTGCAACTGCATGCTACACAGTACATAACCGGTGACAAACAGATGACCGTCAAAAAACAGGCCTGAGTTCAAATCCTGATAGAATCAACCGAGTAAAAAAAATCTCCGGGCTTTGTAGATCACATAGCTTTTTAAGTTTTTAATACTTTTATCCCTATTTTTATTTTTTTTAATGGTGCGCCGCCATCTCAAAACCAGTTTAATAGGCTTCAACTCAATCCATGAAACGTCACTCCCATCGCCCAATCAAATGGACACATATTATTTGCAAAAAATACTAATCCAAAAAACAATCAAACAATTCAGAAAACGGCGAAAGAATTTAAAGAAACACCTGCCCATGGTCGGGTCGATGATCATGCATCTTTTTTAAAGTTTTTTCATTTTATATTACTTTATTTTAATAAGAGATTACCATACCTCAAAGCTGTCACCCTTTGAAAAAGAAAAGAAAGTAACAAAAAAAGAAAAACAAACTCGAAAAAGGAAAAACAACTTCGGAGGTCCTCTAGGACATCTGTTAAAATTGGAACGATACAGAGAAAGAAGATTAGCATGGGCCCTGCGTAAGGATGACACGCATAGATCGATAAATGTTCCCAAAAAAAAGAAAAACTCCGGAGAAAAAAAGAGAAAACAGAATTCCAGGAAAAAAACACCCCTGTGACCATATGATGCAGAAAGTTTGAACGTGGTAGTACCGCAGTAGTCTCCTTTTTTTTTTTTTTTTAACACAGCAGCTCAGGGCCCTATCTATTCTGGGGGGCATCAGTTCGGTTGTCTCATGAACTCTCAGTTTCTCACCTTCACTGGCCCCTCTGCTCGTACTGACACCTGGAGTTTGCGCTCTGGCCTCTGTCAAATGGCGGGAAACAGTCAAACACAGTAAACAATTGTCAGCATAGGCAGGCGCGCCGCTTGGTGTCGCAATCCCGGGTGTGAAAAAAATTGCTGGAGCGGAACTATCTACTTTATTAGAAGTAAGAACAATGAAATACAAATTATTACACGGAATGACAAGTGGACGAAACCAGTCAAGTGGTTTCAAAAGGAGACGGAATTGCACGTGTTTATGGAAACGAAGCTCTTGATGATCAACCTCCCAAAGCCTCAACGACGATTGACAACTGGAGTCAGGTATCTGCCTTGTGGCTGAGCACGGTTTGATTCCCAGCCAAATGATGCAAGGGATGCTAGACCCAGTTTCCATTCAGCAGTATAGGGAGTTTTGATGGGGGGATGTGGGTGAACAAATGTAAATGTCATTTTTTTCTTTCAGGTAGTTTGGACCCAGGTCTGAGCTCGGCCGTCGATGCTTTGCTCGATGCTCATTCCATGGGCCCACACCAAATGGATGTGAGGGACTGCAAGGAAACTGAGCGATAGTGAATTCCAGAAACCAAGCAGCATCATACACATGAAACCAGATAGTCGTGACCTCGGACCAAAAGCAGAATTGCAACTTGAGTTCCACCAAATCAGAGCACAGCAAAAGCTCGCAAGTGACAATGTTGGAATAGTCTCATCATCATCAACAATGAACCGATGTCGATTCCCTATCTGGCGCTCAGCGCCCAGACTACGAATGGCAGATCCTATCTAGCCTATCTACAATGCCGCTGGTGACGTCAACAGCTTCCCGAAGCACGAGCAGATCTCGGCCAATGCCGTTCGCCTCAAGCACCAGGTATGTCTCACGCTTCACTCACAAACTCGATCCCCCACACAGATGCCACGTACACCCAAGGACCACCACGCGCCCCATCCAGCATCTCGCAGGCCAGCTCGGCTCTGACTGCCTGCGTGTGCCCTGCTCGCCCGTGAGCGCGTGGGCGCTTGCCTGCCGATAGCGCAGCAGCGCTTGCGCAGCAAGTAGCAAGTGCCCGAATGTCGCATGCGGAGGCAGGCACTTTCTTTTATCAAAGCGGCCTGCCTGCTGCGTGCTACCTGGCTGCGCTGGGCCCCTGCCCAGAAGCTTCCGATAGGCCCCAAGTGGCTGAGTCCCCGACCCAGGGAATCTCACACAGGGCCTCCCCAGAAGCTTCCGATAGGCCCCAAGTGGCTGAGTCCCCGACCCAGGGAATCTCACGCAGGGCCTGGGGTGGTTACTCGTGTCCAACTGTCAGCGGCCTGTGTTCAGTCCATGCCCCATGTCTGGCCCAGGGCTTGCCTCAGATTCATTTGGAAAAAGGCAGGCAGGGCCTGGGCTCACTTAACCAACTGGCGCTGCGCAACTGCCTGAATTTCCCAGCTGTGTTCAACCCAGCAAAAATAGGCCCCTCATGCCTTGTCAGGCCCGCCTTCACTTAGGGTGTCCGTTCTGGCTGAAACAGGGCCCAGTAGGGCTTACCGAGGCCTTGAGCCTCGCAGGACACTGGGCCCGTTTCCCAGCATTTGTAATAAATGGTTTCCTGGGGGAGAAAAAAAAAAGAAGGTAACTGATGAACACTAATGTTGGGACAACTTCCTTTGGGGATAAAAAAGGGAAAAAAAAATTAAAAATTCAAAAAAGTCAAAAAAAAAACTGCAACCCAGAAAATTGGACTGGGTGTCCTTTGGGACATCTGTTAAAATTGGAATGATGCAGAGAAGATTAGCATGGCCGCTGCGCCTGAGATAGACGGTTCGGCCGCCCCCTAGTAGGACTTGATAGGGGAAATGGTTCGCCCCTTCCACCTGCGCTAGGGGGTAGATTCAACCCTGAGGGGGATAGGCTCAACCCTGAGGAGATGGGTAGGCTGGATAGATCGGGGAGGAAAGCGTCCCATAGAAAAAATAGTGCCCAACCCATAACCCTTAGAATAGCTTGCTTTCCATCAGTGGACTAAGGTAGTGCTGGCTCTCAATTAGGAACAGGCTTGTGGTCGGACTACCGGTGGTACAAAGACAAGGTAAGTCTCCATACTAGATACGTGAATGGATAATGTATAGGTAGCTGGTGTGACGTGGACACAATAATGAGAGAAAAAAATAGGGTAGTAAAATACAGCTTGTCCCCCGTATATGAGGAGAAGACAGCTGTATTTTTTTCAAAGAAAAAAACGAAAAAAAGAAAAAAAAAAACAAAAGAAAAAGAAAATCGGACTGGGTATGCCTAAGCAGAAACGAACCGCTGCAGTTACTTGGCTGGCTGCTTCACAAATCATAGAGGAGACTCTGCAAGCCTCATTATGGAAATCGCAGCCATATAACACCACAAACAAATGATCCTACTACTCCTTTTCCCAACCTCCTCCTCCTCTTCTTGTTTTTTATGTTCATCATCTACGTTTGTTTTGCGCTTCTGAGGCAGGGGGACAAGAACGTCAAGCTACTGTCTTCACCCGAAGATAACATATGTTTGTTACCGCTGTTATCTGGAGACGGGAGGGAATCAACAAGAGACGGGAGGGAACTGACAAGAGACGGAGCGAACCGACAAGAGGCAGGAGGAAACTGACAAGAATCTCAAGCTACCATCGTCACCCGAATCTACCTTCTGGCTATGGTGGACCTTCATCTCCACTTCCTTGGTTTGGTGCTGCATCTGGAAGGCTCCTCTCGGGGTACCGGTTGGACATTGACTTCAACCGGGAGTGTGGGAGAGGCATGATAATATGTGTGCTGCCCGTTGAACATCTGGAGGAAAGATATGTGAGAGGCATGATAGTATGTGCGCTGTCCGTTGAACATGCTGGACCTTCATCTCCACTTCCTTGGTTGGTGCTGCATCTGGAAGGCCCGTCTCGGGCCACCAGTTCGACATTAGCCGGGAGTGTGGTTATGGAGGAAAGAGATGGGAGTGGCATGATAGTATATATGCGCACTGTCCGTTGAACATCGGTGCTACACTTGGATGACCCGCCATAGCTTGACAAGAACATCAAGCTACCGTCTTCACCTGATGAATACACAACCTTCAAGTCTAGCACCCGATGACACGAGGCTGAAAGGATAGTCCCTCTCTTTGGGTGCTGGCAGTGAGAGGGAATATCCAAACACTGACTCTTGTTCATTCATTCATATATCGTTGTGTTTAATGATTTTGCTTATTTTTAAGGAGGGGAGGGGAGGGGGGGGGGGGGGGGGAGAGTTCAATCTTGCATACTGCTTCTTGTTTTCTCTTTTTGATTTGTTCTTTTTTTTATTATTATTATTTTTTGAAAACGGCAACACTGCCGCGACAGCCTTGAGATATAATCGTGAAACTGACCAGTCCAAGGGAATTCAGGAATTTGTTGATCTGGTTCCATCTGGATTTGAACTCAGGTCTGCACTTCAACAGTTTATGGGTGTACCAACTGAGCTAAGCCCGTGGGTATGTTGTGTACTTCTTCTTCTTTTTCTTCTTTCGTTCTCAATTCCTCTTCTTTCCGTCTGTTTCCACTTCTTCTCGGGTTGCGAAATACTGCATCGTCTTAAGGTTATCTTGCATTGAGATGAAACGGTTTTCACCTTTCTGTAGTCACAGATGCGGGCCCTAGAGTTCGATCCCCAGACCTCACTTTGCCCATGTACAGTATCGAGTCTGTCTCTTATACACATCTAGATGTGTATAAGAGACAGGGTATGTTGTGTACTTCTTCTTCTTTTTCTTCTTTCGTTCTCAATTCCTCTTCTTTCCGTCTGTTTCCACTTCTTCTCGGGTTGCGAAATACTGCATCGTCTTAAGGTTATCTTGCATTGAGATGAAACGGTTTTCACCTTTCTGTAGTCACAGATGCGGGCCCTAGAGTTCGATCCCCAGACCTCACTTTGCCCATGTACAGTATCGAGTCGACCCCTGAGTGTTTGAACCCGTGACCTGTGTTTTGGTAGTTGTTTGTCGTCTGTCGAAGGTCTGTGTAGTGGTAGGGGTTCTATCTGTAGGTCTCTCAATTAGGAGTCACAACTTTGCAGAGGTCGGAGCTGTAGGTATTCTGAAAGGTCAAGGTCGTAGCTGCTACAATACTGAAAGGTCAAGGTCGTAGCTGCTACAGTACTGGAAAGGCCAAGTCCATAGACTTCCGGTGTCGGGGCAAAAACCATGACAAGGGTATTTGCCGGGGTTTTTAAACGTCGGACGCTGTCTGACTTTTTCGTTGAATTGAAGGACTTGATGAGACTGACGTTTGCCAAAGGTTTATTCTGACCTGACCTATGACTGAGAGATTAAAAGTTTTGTCCAGACGCTTGTGGCGTACGAGTATAACGATAGTAACTGGCAGTGCTTTGCTTTTGTCGAAGCCGCAAAAGTGTGCGGACATGGGAACGCTAAAGATAGACCTATTCTAGCAGTCGCGCGATTCAGGGCCTAAGTAGGCTAAAAAGAGGGATGCGCCGGGTATAGGACCGCGGGATGTACAGATGACGCACCCGGCTAGAGCGGCGAAGGGACGACGCAACCGCGGCCGTCTCGGCGGCTCGCGGGATTAGTTACGCGTCATTCCCGAGTTGTCTCTTGATTTTTGTTTTGTTTAAACTCCTGCGTGACATGGCAGGGAGGGCTCTCGCCTTTGCGAAAAAGGCGGAAGCCGATGCGCTCGACACCGGAAGGTCCGAAAGTGGCCTTTCGAAGTTGCCTCACGTTTGGCCAGAGGCAAGTGGGCAAGCGGTGAGCCCAACTGCGGTACATCGGCAGTGCGACTGCATTGAGTTGGCAGTGCAAACCCATGCAGTCAGCATTACCGGTCCCAGTCAGTCAGTCCAGCCAAGCAAGTACCGTGTGGGACTGTGTGCACCAAGGGCCTGGGAACGGGGCAGACCAACGAGTCGCAAGTATAAATCAAGAGGCAGCGCCCCGCCATTCATTCATTCGCTGCGTAAGCCATGCGGAAGCGCTGCTACGGTGTCTTGTGCGAGGTGGTCTGCAGATGCCCGTAGTTGAAGTGGGCGAGAAAAGTGACAGTGTTAGTAGTAGAGTTAGCAGCGGCCAGAGCCGCCGAGGTTGGAGATAGGAGGTAGGGTGTGTGTGTGTATGTGTGTGTTACAGCGAGTGCGTGTGGGGTATTCAGGGAGATCCAGAGTCGAAGTGTGTGCGAACAGTGGCATTAGATACAAAGTCGCGACTTGGGATGTATCGGCGCTTATGCGCCATAGCCTGTTGAAACGAGATTGCATCAAAACTGTGTTCGCGGTGTCCATACCTTTGAGCTTTGAGTGGGCGCCTGAGCGCCAGTGTGAATCTCTATCTGTTTGCATGTATGCGAGGTGGAAAGGAAGCGAGTCTGATTGCATTGGTATCGGAGCTGGTTCCCATTACTCCATGCGCTGTCGTCGTTGAGCAGGGCGCAATAGCTGAGACGCACCATTGAAGTGTCCGCCATAGTTGCACTGCGGACGGAAGGTGCCGCGTACCTGCAAGGGGAAGACAACGACAAGAGAGAGAGAGAGAGAGAGAGAGAGAGAGAGAGAGAGAGAGAGAGAGAGAGAGAGAGAGAGAGAGAGAGAGAGAGAGAG